AGAGAGAATAAATATCATTTTGAAAAACCAGATAAGAAGAAGAAGGAGATAAGTTGATTCGATTTCATATTCCAACAGTAAAATAGAAACGTTACTGTAATTGTGGATTAATTCAAAGGAAAAGTTCTTCGTGGTTTTCATTTTTTTGTATTTTTGTGGTTTCTGCCGTGTTCAATTATATCATATTCAAGGAATTTTGAAAAATATATTCATCCAGCAGAATTATTATGTCATTAATCATTGATTGAATTTAGATTCAAATATAAATTCAGATTGTAAATTATGTAAATCGATAAAGAGAAAGGGGAGGAGAGAAAAAGAGTGTAGGAGGTAGTAAGAAGAAAGAAAGAGAAAATGTTTATTTTATTCCGCAAATCTCTATCATTAGAGAAAATTGTAATCTAATGGTATTAAGAGAAGTAGACAAAATAAGAGTAGGCAGAATAATCTAAATAACTGTAACTTTTATAGAAAGTACTTATAAATAAGGAAGTCGTAAAAAAGACTTTTTTGATAAGTTAATACAAATGGACGTTTAGTGTAATTTATGAAAAAAATTTGTAAATAGATCATTCCCTATAATATATTATAGAACTATTAAAACGTTTTAATTATATTGATTTTTTAATTAACAATTGCATTAATTATAAATTCACACTTTACTTTTTAAATATTGCGCTCATTTTAAAAAACTAAATCTTGAGAACTGAGAAGTGAATGTGTACGGGACTTAACGTTAGAGAAAGACACCATCGTTTTTCTGCTGTATATTATGGGATAGATTATTTTACTTATCATTTTTTCTGTCTATCTTTGCAGGTAGACAGAAAAAATGATAAATAAAATAATCTATCTCATATATTATATTAGAATAATACATAATTATAATATTAAAGTTATTTTATTTTTCTCTCTCTTCAGACATTATCAACTAATGTAGAGAAGAGATAAAAAATAATAATATTATTATAAATATATACTAATTATAAGAGATAATTATTATTTTTGTATGAAATAATTTTTTTTTAGCAACATAAATTTTTTTTTAACCCATACTATATTATAGAAATCATCTTCTCTTACTATGGGAGGAGATTGATTTTTGCAGTTAATCCTTCGAGATACGTGATTCTATTTTTTTTTCAAAAAAGTGTGACCCACCATTGCCTTAAATCTATAATATAAGATCCCCTTTGCAGCAACGAGATGCATGATTCTATTTTTTTTTTTTTCAAAAAAAATTGGATCCCTCCATTTGCAGCAACAACGGAGGTTTAAAGCCCGTTATATTATAGGGTATGATATTCATACTACCAAATTTTTTTATTACTATTTCACTACCACTCTAATCACCATTGGATTAGAAGAAAAGTTGAATGAAGAGAGAGAAAAAACAACAACTTTTGAATCCAATGATGATTAAAGTGGTAATGGAGTGGTAGTAGAAAAATTTGGTAGTATGAATATCCTACCTCTTATATTATATCATAGATTCTTCTCTTAATTGATACATTATCTTTTAGATTACATAATCACTTATCATTTGTCAAAATAAGACTATATAGCATGGATATCATATCTTAATATTATTGGAAGGGCTGCCGAAAGGTTAGAATCTGTAAGGTTTAATATGGCCTAAAGACGACTTAAATTTTTGAACTCTGATGAAAAGTATAAATCTAAGGAAACTTCACTTTCAGTCTTTTGTTATCATATTATTAATTTCTTGTGATTTTATATTTATCATTTAGACCTATTGTAAATACAATATGTATATTTAATTCCCTGAATTCTAAAAAAAAATTCTTATTATATAAATTTTTTTTAATAAACAAAATAACAAACTATAAATAAAATATCAAAAATACCTCTAGCTAAAAACAAAACCCTAAAATATTATGTAATTAACAGATATAACTAATTTATGATATAAAAGTTTATTACTTATATATGACTTTTTATTATATTATAAATAAAATTATATAATATCCATCTTTAATAATTATATAACAAATTAAGTGAATAGTGTATTTTAAATTTATGAAAAGTAATATCCATTTAAATCAAATAAGGGAAATAATATAAAGTAAAATCAATTCATATTAATTATTGAGAGAGAAATTGAAGTTAAATTCAAATATATGTTTGCACTTTTAATATAAAAATAAAGGAGAAAGTGTTTATCCTATTACAAGAGATAAATTTATCTCCTGTAACCCAAAACAATTTTGAGATTTAGAAAAAATAAATAAAGGATATTTTAGAAAACAAAATTTCTATGGTAGAATGTATTTTACTAAAATATTCTTAATTTTTTATTTTAAACTCTAAAATGACGTCATTTTAGGATCGCAGACAAGGTGGTGTGGATTTTCATCGGAGGACTTGTGTTCTTCAAGTCTGAAGAATTGATCAAGAACGCATTTGATAAGGAATAATAATTCGATTAAATGTATCTACTTTAAACCCTAACATGTCTATTGCATGATTCATGGGTTAAACATGATTGGGGGTGGGCAAATGTTGCTTCTTCTGCATAAAAAAAAAATTAATTTTTCCCTCTTTTATATTCATGGCCTACAAAGGCAACTTACAAGTTATCTCATGTGACATAAGAAACGTTAATCCCAGAAATTAAACAAACATAACCTGATAATTCTTATAAATCAAGGGTTCGTTTTTTGTAATGAATGCATATAATTTATCTCCATTGAGCCCATAGCGATGTCTTTTTGGGGAAAAAATTAATGTGTTTTTGTAATTTTAATTTATTTCAGAATTATAATAATTTTTATCATTATAACTTTTTAATCTTTCAACACAAAATGACGTTGTTTTGAGAGTGAATATAGATAACTGCGTTCACTTTAAAAATGTTAAAGTCATAAATCAAGCTTATTTTTAATATTTATAAACCAAATAAAATACATAAATTAGATATGATTATTAAATAAAATAATAAAAACATATTATAGAATTTCAATTAATAAAAATTATTTTAACTATATATAGAATATGAATTTTACACACGTTGGTGTTTTAACTTGCCAAAGGATAATATTATGATATTTTCGTTCTGATAATATGAATTCATTTATTCAAATTTTTGTTAAATAGAATTAACTTAATTTTTTACAATCTAAATTTTGTTTGAAAATATGTTTTATAGAATCATTGTTTAGAAAACTCTTAAAAAAATTGGATTTGAATTTTCTCATTGATTGAAAAGAAATAAACAATATTATGAAAATAACAAAATTTATTCTTACTGAAAAATTCATATACTAGAAGAAAAGCTTAATGATGTTATCTGAGAATTTTACATAATACTTATACAAGAAATATAATAAATGATAACTTAGAAATCACAAGAATTTGAATAATATACACTGAAATCACGAGGAATGAATACGAAATTTATCCTAAATTTAAAAGTTATTTATAGTTAAATTGTAAAATTTTAAGAGTGAAAAAAACTAAGCTGTTTCATGATACATACTTTAAAATAATTTATATATACGTGTTTTTATTTAATAATTTAAATAATTATTAGAAAGATTGACTAAGCCACTAAAATTGATCTTTGCACCTTCCATGAGATTACAAGCTGGAAAGTTCCATATCATTATATTACAATTTTTTTGACAAGAAATACATACATACTTTTGGGTCCTCAACAAAAAATCACAAGGTCCATTTTAATCTCTTTAAAAAAAGTCAATTTGTTGTTTTCTTAAATTCAAAATAGACTCAAATAGTCAAAATCACGGTCTATTTGAAATTCAAAAAAGATTCAAATTAATCTTTTATAAACATAAGTCTATTTTAAATTTTAAAAGAACTACGGGTCGATTTTTTTTCTAAAGAATGAAATTAGGGCCAATAATATTTGTTGAGTACCAAAAGATATTTTACTCTGTATACAATGTTGGTCACCCCTAATCTTACGTAGCATTGAATATATGGTTGATGAGGATGAAGATATACAAGGAATCGTTCTATATTGGTCGATAATATCAGTACCAGCAATTTCTAAGTTTGAAAATGATGACAATCGTAGACTAGGAACATTTTGATTTGAATGATTCTGTTTTAATTCTTTCCCCCTTGAAAATTAGTCTCCATTAATAGAGTGAAAAAAACAAATAGGAAAGTGACTTAAAAAAATTCATTAAAACTGAAATATGACATTATTTTCTCTATCGTAGATGGAGAGTACCAAGTACTAACTACCTAAAAAATACTTACTCCCCTCGTTACATTTAGTTCACCCCGTTTTATATAAACAATGAGTGAGTCCATGTGTTTCCATCCCACAGCTACAAAAAATTTAGAGTAAATATTTTTTTAGGTCCATGATAAAAAATATGGTTCCATTTTCACCCCTTATAAAAAAAATATCTATATTAGTCTATTTTTAAAAACTAAATTAAATTTTCATCGAGGAATCACATTTTCAAAAAACTGAAATTGTAAAATATTAAAAGTTAATTTTTTTTTCATAAGGAACAAAAGTGAAGACTTATTTTTTATTAGGAACTCAAAATGAACTGTACTCAAAAATTTATTCATTTTAGAAGAGGTGATAAACTTTAAATATAATTAAATCTTAACTTGAAATTAGTATCGTAACGGGCTTAAAGAATTGAAAGCCTCACCTCAAAAACAAAAAATATAATTAGAGTCGATATAATAATAATAAAAAAAAAAAAAAGGAAAATCAACTTGTCCTATTACTAAAAAGCTACTGTTCTTTCCTGCACAGACGTTGAAAACGAAAATCACAATTTAATTTTATTTTTATTTCATTTTTCAGTGGGTCCCATCATAATCTTCTATCTACATAAAATTTGATTCTTGTCCTTTAACATGACAAATTAATTACCCTTTAAAAAAAATTATTGCTAACTTGTCTCCCATCTTATCCTATAAATAAGTCCATTTAGCACCTCCACAAGTGTGTCACTCCCTATTCTCCTCTGTTCCCTTCACCAGTTCACAAGTGACTGCGTCTCTATCAAACCCCAAAACAATGGAGCTATCAAGTTCCACACTCTACCTTTTGTTCACATTCGCCGTACTTTTTGTTCTTCGATCTCTTCTTGCAACAAAAAGCAGCAGCGACAAGAGTAAGAGCAAAACAAACACCAAGCTTCCACCAGGACCTACCCCACTTCCCATAATTGGAAACCTTCTCCAACTTGGGAACAAACCTCACCATTCATTAGCCAAACTTTCAGACATTCACGGACCAATTATGACCTTAAAATTAGGCCAAGTAACAACCATAGTCATATCTTCAGCTGACATGGCCAGAGAAGTGCTCCAAACCCATGATCTCTTACTCTCAAACAGAACCGTTCCTGATGCACTTTCAGTTCTCAACCATGACCAATACAGCTTGTCTTTCATGCGTGTTTCTCCTCGTTGGCGTGACCTTAGAAAAATCTGCAACAACAATTTATTCTCCAATAAAACACTTGATGCTAGCCAAGCACTCAGGCGCAAGAAGTTGAATGATCTATTAAATGACATCAACAAGTGCAGTGAAACTGGTGAAGCTGTGGATATTGGAAGAGCAGCTTTCAAGACAACGATAAATTTGTTGTCAAACACTTTTTTCTCTGCGGATTTTGTTCACTCTGCAGCTGAAGCAGGAGAGTATAAGGAGATTGTTGTGAGCATATTGAAAGAGGTTGGAGCACCTAACTTGTCTGATTTTTTCCCTGCTTTGAAGATGCTTGACTTGCAGGGTATCAGAAAACGCTCTATTGTTTCTGTTAAGAAAGTGTTGACTATCTTCCGTCGCTTCGTTAGTGAACGGATGAAGGTTAGGGAAGGAACAGGTTCTTCTTCAAATGATGACGTCCTTGATGCCTTGCTCAATATTTCTCAAGAGAATGGCAAGATTGAAATGGACAAAGATGAAATTGAACATTTGTTGCTGGTATTTTCTCTCCCCCTTCTCTTCTCTATGATGATCTATTTTGTTTTCGATCTTTTACGATCATATTTTAACCACCGTTAATTTTTATCAATCAACGGTTATTATTTATTGTGAATTAATAATTAATTAATGAAATAATAACTGTTGATGGACAAAAATCAACTGTTAAAATATAACTGTAAGAAATTATAAACAAAAATAGGTTATAAATATAAACTTGTTAAATAACACGTAAAAGAACCCATCGTCATATTACACCCACTTAAAATAGAAACACAAATTCACCTAATTACATTTATTTAAAAATTTGCTATGAAAATAAGTATAAATAGAGTTAACTGAGTCCATTTATTTTTATTCTCTCTCCATGTCTGTTTAATTTCTTGACTCTTTCATATTGAATAAATTTCTAGTACTCCTCTAATACATATTATAGTTGGATTCCTAACAAAAAATACGGTCTTCACTTTAGTTCTTTAAAAAAAAAATAGTTCCGAGGTCACTAAAAAATGGATCCACTTTAAATTTCTTAGGAATTTCGGGACTAATATTTTTTTTGTAAAAAACTAAAATAAAGACCGTACTTTTTGTTAGGGATACAAAATAGATTTTACTTTACATATTACATCCACTTGAAATATAAACATGAATTTACATAATTGTATTTATCAAAAATCTGTTAAAAAAAAGATTTTATTAATCTCATGTATAGTAGAGTAGTTCTCTCCTACCAAAGACATAATCTTGAGTGGATTCCATTTCCTTATAAAAAATAAAAAATAAAAAATTAAACTTTACGAAAATCCATGAGTGTATAAGAAAGAGAATAGTTTTTTCCTTAAAAAAATTGGTATAAATAAAGCAGAGTCCATGTGTTTTTATTTTATGTGAGTGTAATATGTATTAGAAAAAAGTTATATATATGTACTTCTGCTTGTGTTACTAGGATAAGATATTCTTGTATCTATGCTTAAATTAAATATGTATGTATGCAATAACAGTTCTGTTTACCGAGTTTCTCACTTAATAATTTTTGTGTAATAGAACATATTTGTTGCGGGAACCGACACAACAACATATACACTAGAATGGGCAATGGCAGAGCTAATTCACAATCCAAAGATTATGTCAAAAGTGGAGAAAGAACTGGAGCAAGTTGTTGGCAAAGGTAACACTGTGGAAGAAACAGATGTTAGTAGGCTCCCTTACTTAAATGCAGTTATAAAAGAGACGTTCCGTGTGCATCCACCAGTTCCCTTATTGCTTCCCAGAAAGGCTGAGATTGATGTAGAAATTGGTGGCTACGTCATCCCAAAAGATGCACAAGTGTTGGTCAATGCTTGGGTTGTTGGTAGGGATCCAACTAAATGGGATAATCCAAATGTGTTTATACCTGAGAGGTTCTTGGACTCTGAAGTTGATATTAAAGGTCATCATTTTGAGCTCATACCATTTGGATCTGGACGAAGAATATGCCCTGGCTTGCCTTTGGCTGTTAGAATGTTGCCACTTATGTTGGGATCATTGGTCAATTGCTACAATTGGAAACTTGAGGAAGGCATAAACCTTGATGACTTGGACAAAGAAGATGAATATGGGATTACCTTAGAAAAATCTCAACCAGTTCGAATTGTTCCAACCAAAGTTAAGTAATTAATCTAACATCCACATGTGTATTGTTCCAATAAAAAATAAACAATGAGAGTAGCATGCGTGATGGATGCATATGTGTCTGGAGTAGTTGTTTGCTTGTTTACTTCTAGTATAACCCCCTTGTGGTCTTGTCTTTGGCTGGTTGTGTTATTAGTGTCCTTGGCTCATGTTTAGAGAATAATAAGTGTCCTTGGCTCATGTTTAGAGAATAACAAAAGTAATGTACACGAGCCCATATTTCCTATAAATATTATAAGTTTGATGGCAACAACAATGCTATTTCTTTTTCCTTCTTCCCCCCCCATACTTCCTCTTATACCTGTGTTACTAATGCCACATAAAATTTTGCTGGAGCATCAAAAGACTCATGTTGAACTTCATAAGGCTTACTCTTCTAAGTTGATTATTTAGCTCAGTTGCCTCTAACTATTCTTATGTTTTCCTTTTCTTCTCTTTTTGTTTCTCTTGTTCCAATTATTACATGTTTTCCTTTTCTTCTCTTTTTGTTTCTCTTGTTCCAATAATAATAATAATGTAGCAAGCCCAATTACAGAGATGGAGCCCAAGAGGCTTGAGAAGAAAGCAGTTTACTTGAAGGATTAATGGGTCAAGTAATCTAGCGCCCCCGAAGATATTAGAAGCTTGTCTACTTAAAAATATTATTTTTTGATATATATCAATCAATGTCCGAAATCTTAATGGATCTGATTAATTTAATTTTGGATTTGAGTTTCTCTACTCATAAATTTCAAATTATTAGTATTTTTATTTATGAATTTATAAATTATTATTTACATGAGTATTATTATGAATTTCTAAATTTGCATTTTCGTAGGGTTTGCAACTATTATATGTATGAAAGAAAATTTGTTAACGCAATATCAAGAAGAAAATTTTCAAATTCCTCTTTTTCCTCTAATTCTCCACCTCTTACCTCTCTCTATTTCTCTCCTTATTTCCCTAACCCAACATCCGGAGTGCTACAAATAATCACTTCCATTGGAGACGGGATGTATAAGAGAATTGAAGATATTTTAATAAAGGGAAAAACTATTCTCATGCTACATGGGATAAGTTTTTTCTCATACACACCTTTGATAACTGTGCCATCTTTTTTTCTCTCTTTTTTTCTTTTCTTTTTATTTTTTTAGGTGGTGGAGCCCTCAAGTTTGTCTCTATGACATGAGATAATTTATCTCCTTTAACATGATATTAATAAAACGCTTTAATAAATAATAGGGATAAATTATTCTGCCTACTTTTAATTTGTCTATCCCTTTCCACACCATTAGATTATAATCTTATCCAACGGTGAAGATTTATAACATAAAATAAACCTTTTTACTCCTTTCATTCTCCTTCCCGCCTCTCACCCTTTCTCTCTCCTCCTCCTTCTCTCTATTGACCAAGACAAAATCAACTCATTGTATTATAGAATTGTATTCAGCATTTCTCTTTTAAATAATAACATATGATGATGCAACTCATTGTATTGTAGAATTGTAGTAATTGAATCGGCAAAACAAAAAAATCGTTTAATGAATTTGTACCCGCAGCTCATTGTATTGTAGATAAATCAATCAATTTTTTTTGTTTTCTTTCTCAACCATGGAGATGTCCACCCTCATTCGCACCATTTAACAATTTAGAGGTCCCTGATCCGAAAATTCCCTTTTTTTATTAAATTTTCTTCATTTTGTCGGTGATTGGAATTATGGGATGAGGTTGCACCCTTTTGCTATCTCTGCCTTAAACCTGATTTAGGTGTTTAGAATTACTGATTTTACAATTAAATGAATTATGGAGAAAGGAGAGGAGAGAGAAAGAGTGTCGGAGACAATGAGGAAAAAGAAAAAAAAAATGATTTTTTATTCCACAAATCTCTATCGTTGAATGAAATTATAATCTAATGGTATTAAAAATGATAGACAGAGGTAGACAGAATAAAGATAGGTCGAATAACATATCTCCAAATAATATACCTCGTAAGTATGCATAGCACTTGCATTTTTTAATCCGAATAGCATGACAAATCATTTATAAAACTCCAACCCTCCAGCGAACAAATTATAATCTTATGCATTACCTTAGAAAAAGCTCCGTCAGTTTGAATTGTTCCAATCAAACCATGCAATTAATCTAGCAATAGCACATATACATATATAATAATAAAAATAAGCATTTAACCTATGTGTTTGTAATGAGTCTTCTCCTGTCTAATTCCTTTATAATTCACCCGTGTATTTTGTTATTGTAAGTGTCCTAAACTCATATTTAGAAAGAAAAAAAATTATTATCCATTAGTCAATATTTCAAATAAGTAATGTCGATATTCAATAATTTTGATGCCATGTATATAATAAGGCTATTTCTTTTTTATTTATATTTTCCCTTCTTATTATTTGTAATTGATCGCTAGCAATGAAGATAAGAAATGGGCAATAGGATTATCGGTCTTTTGTGATGTTATGATCTCCAACCTTGTCAACACTTTTTTTATTTTTAAAACCCTAACCATCATAATAGGACAAAAATTTAACTTTATGATTGTTAATGGTTTTTAGCCACTTATATGTATGTGATGTGGACCTATAATACGAATTCAAAGGTTATTGTAAGCCCACATGATTAACGAAACGATCCATCATAGGATTTGGCCAAAAAAAATATCCTTAACTAATAAGAAACGTGTATAGGCCATCTCGTGGTCGTTAATCAGCATCCCAAAACAGGCCACTACCTCTCCCAGCTAGTAACGAAATGGCATGAATGAACTTCCAACTAAGCCTCAACCCGATTAACCACCATGAGGCATCCCGGAGGCAGAAGAAACCTGTGAGTACCTTATCAGCGAACTAATCAGAAAGCATCTCAGTAAGATCGCCATAGAAAGGCGGTCAGATTAACCTACAAGCAAGTTGTGTCACTCGTTATAAATACTATATACAAAACCGTAAGATGTAGAACAAAAAATAATCTTAGTAGTTATAGACTGGTATATCTCTATGAAGGAACTTATTTAAAAAAAAAAAGGCTAAATTGATTAGAGAATGCGACCTTATCATATATCTAACTCTTGACAAACAGCCAAACAGTTAATAAGATTCATGTTAGAAAGAACCCTACAAGTTAAACAAAAATAAAATATTAATAAAACAATGAATTCAGCATCATGAGAAATGTACACCAGCTTTGTTAAACAAAGAAAGCAGGTATAGGAATTCCTCTAGTGTGAGCTTGGACGACCTCTTCTCTTCAAAATCCCCCTCCTTCAGAACACCAAAAACCTTGTCCTTAAATTCAGATTGCACCTCTTCTGCTTTCCCATCCTCAATTTCGATTTCCTCATCATCCGTTTCCTCATCCACTTCCATGCCATCTTCAATAAAATCACCAAGATTAGAAAAGTTAATTTTAGTGTTTGTTTCCTTCAGTGGACCTTCTTGCGAAAGTTGTAGTGCCTGCACAGTCTTATAATTCTTTTCAAGCAAAGATAAGACAGTTTTTTGCCTAAAGGTTGAACCAAGGGTTTTGTTCTTTCTGTTGAAACATACCCGTAAAAAGCCATCCTACTCCTTTTGCTTAATTTCAACACGGGGCTTTCTGGGCTCTATTGGTACTACAGAAGAATCAACCTTAGGTGGAGGCCGGAAATTATTCCTTCCAACTTTCAGGAGGTGGAACACTCGAGCATGGGGTTGAGTGTTCGCTGTAAGACGACAATAAAGTTTGTCACCAGGCTGAGCAACCAGTCTCATGACAAATTCTCTCTGCAACATTATGATCGATGGTGGCTGAGTAACTTGAATGTGAGAGAGGAGAAGATATTTGATAGGGAATATTTGCCACACATGTCAAAATAAGGAAGTTCAGTCCTCAATACATCACCTTGGATAACCTGAAATCGTCAAGAAATGAAATTCAGGTACTATTTTGAAACAATAAGGGAAAAGAAATATTATGTTTTGTTTTAAGGAAGCTGGGATGTTTAGAGAGGCAAAGAAACATCCAGTAGGGTCTAAACTGTCAAATTTAGTTGACACCCAGCAACATAGAATGTTTAAAATATGATTCAAGACAACTATAATGCATACATGTATTGAATTTAATACCAAATTGCCAATTCGTTCAAAAAGTCATCAAATAAGAAACAAACTTATGGTTAATTCTTTCTTTTTTTAGTAGGATAAAAGTCGAAAAAGAAGCACTAAATAGAGAATTATACTGAAATTTCAGGCATTTATCCAGTCTGGCCATGAGCATCATCAACTAAATAGCAATGACTTTTACAACACTACTTTAGCAGCGAAAAAATACCAAATAAATATTTCAAAACCTATAACAAGTAAATATTGGTGTCCTGTTGAAGCCTCAAGCTCCTAAAATATGGGAGTTACATAACTTCCATACTGAGCACTATTTCCTAGTGTTAAAGCATACATCTGTAGAGATTGCAGGGGACGACGGATTTTGGGGTTCTCGAAAAATCTAGGGGCTGACAACTCCATTGTTGCAAAACTCTGGGGATCAACCCTGGGCTTGAACTAGGATGGAATCTGGGCTACTGCCATGTCTGGCTTGAGGGAGATTCTATTGCAGCTAGAGCTTTTATTCTGAATGGCTGCCTGGTTACTCATCCTCTGTTTCCATTAATTAACAATATTAGGCAGATGATTGATAGACATTCGGTTCAAGTTACCCAAGACTACAGGGAAAGCAAGAGTGTAGCCAATAGGCTAGCTACCCAAGCTTTCCAGCATTCCTAGGAGTTGAAGATCTACCATCCCCCAATTGCTTGTCCTTCTTGAAGAACGATTGGCAAAGACCCATATGATGATTTTTTTATAAAAAAAATTGTTGAAACAACGCAATTTTGAAACTTATTATCAGAGTAATGCAATGAGTCTCGCATAGGGGAGGTGCAAGACTCGCTCAATTGGGCCACGTGTTGAATGTTGGCAAGTTTTCGGGTTATATTTTGAACAGATATTAAACCGTGGCAAATAAATCGTAGCTAAATTGTCCCTTGGACTTATCAGCATTCCAGACGTGGCCCAATCCAACAAATACCGCACCTCCATGATGCGGGACCGATCCCCCACCCACCTCAATAGTGTCTCATTGCATTACTTTGATAAAAGTTTCAAGATTACATTACTCCAACAGTTTTTTTTTAAAAAAAAAATGCATTACATTGGTCATTTTGCCAAGAATGATTTGGCGGGAGCTACTTTCCCATGCCAGTGCTGCAGCTAGCACTGT